CACACAGGACACTTCCCACATAGACTGGTTACACAGATAACAAGACTGAACACTACACACATATTTATCTGACGTACACAGGACCCTACTCACACAACTGACCTGACACACTAACCTGACACTACTCACACACTGACCTGACGCACACAAAATACTACTGACCCAAGCGACCTGTAACACACAGTACACAACTCACCTACTCACTACTGACCTGACGCACACGTGACAGTTCTCACACAAATTATCTGTGACACACAGGGCACGACTAATAGACTGGCCTGTTTGAGACAAAACACAACTTTCAGACTTAACTGACACACTAATTAACCTGACTCACAACGAACCTGTCACGACTAACACACTGACTTGACGCACACAGAACACGACTAACACACTGACCCGACACACACAGTGATCTATATGTGCACTTTAACTCGCTATGTGAAGGAGAAAATAGGTTAATCACAGGGTAAGCTTTCAACGTTTTAAACATATATAAAAAATCAACACTTATTTTCAGAAAATCGAAATGCGGTCCTACTTTCCTGGCTTTCCTCTGTATTTTCCCATTTTTGTTTGGATTTTAATGTAGTCTTCATCGAGATATTATTTCCGTCATGGGTTCTGGTGTGCCCAAAATATGCAATGCGTATGAAGAAACTGTCGCTAAACGGACTCCAGATACAGACTTTTCACCAAAAGACGCTAAACATTCAAACAAACCCTTATTGAACATTTATTGAGACTGGGCTCAAAATAAAGGAATTGTCGCTCAAAATTCCATTTGAGCTCCATATGTGCTGAAGAGCTCCACGACTGATATAGGAAACCATCTACGGATCACTTTCATTTTGTAATTTAAGAACCAATCTAAAGGAACAATTAAAGGTCCGTAGATTTGACTGAAAGTATATTAGTACATATGTACATATATGCTGAAGAGATCCAAAGGTGCATGATGTAGAAATCATTAACATAATAACGGATCACTTCCATAAAACAATAAATGGTTTATATATTTTGTGTACCATTCTGTAATGAAAACTAATATTCGATATAGGAATATTACCCCAAGTTGAGCTTGGATTTTGGTCCTCAAAGAACTAACTGACCGCCTCCATGACACCTTCATTGATTCCAAAACGTCTACCACGAAGCTTGGTTTTCAGTTTCGGAAACAGGAAGAAGTCAGAGGGGGCCAAGTCCGGAGAATATGGGGGATGGGGATGGGTTGCAGCAGCTATCGCAACTTGGAATGTGTGAGTTGGCGCACGCATTGTCGTGCAGGAGCAGAACGCCTTGTGTCAATTTGCCCCTCCTTTTACGCGCAATTTCTTGACACCGACGTCTCAATTCGTCTGCATAGTACGTAACGTTTATAGTACGACCTTGCTCGCGATAGTCAATCATGATTATCCCCTGACTATCCAGCCATCTTCTTCCCTGCAGATGACACCTTCTTGAATTTATTCGGAGCGGGTGAGCCAGGGTACTTCCATTGCATGCTCTGTTTATTTTTGGATCAAAGTGCTGGACCAATGTTTCATCCTGAGTAACAATCAGGTAGATAAAATCAGGTTATCCTCGTAGCGAGACAAAATATATCTTTAAATGTCAAGCCTGGTCCGTTTCTTGTCGTCAGTCAACTGTCTTGGGATCCATCTAGCGGAAACCTTTGACATGCTATGGACATCAGTCAGAATTGCCAGAACTGAACCAAAGCTTATACCCACTCCCATAGCAATGCTTCGCAGGTCTCGCGTTCTGATGCACATGACCAGATCGTGCACAGCTTTGGCAGTTTCATCGTTGGTGGCCTCTTTTGGCCGCCCAGGCCGCCTATTATCTCCAATGCTCTCCCTGCCCCTCGTAAATTCAACAGCTCATTTTCTCACATTGCTATAGGAAGGGGACTCCTTCGAAAGTCTTCCTGGATTTCCTTGGGGCCATCCCTTTCTTACAGAGGTACTTAATGACGGCTCTGATTCCAACTTTCTCCATTTGGTCTAAATGACACACCCCTCTACTGATCAAAGTGTGTTTTATGTTACTTAATCTGTGTAAAACCGCGTGTATCTCGGTATCGACGTATTAATTCTGCTGAATGTCAGTGTACGTAGTGGCTAGAAGTATAAAAGGCCGTAACATTTTGATCATACCTGGTAATATTTCGTATTTCATAATGTGCTCTGTGGTGTATAAGTCTACAAATAGGCAGATCAGTGCAAATGGATGTTTACCACAATATGCCATTCAATATTGTCCAACAACAATGACCTGGCGCTCTTGCATTTGACCCTTTAGTTGGTAATTCTGTAAAAGAAACCTTAGTACGACTGATTTTTTTTAAAGTCCATATTTCATAGCAAGAGAGAATTTTAAACAGCCCCACTACTATCTAACAGAATACAATTGTAACAGGTAAATAGCATGAATCTGACTAAAAACGTAACGATCTGTAAATAAACTATTCCTCGAATCAAATTATCATTTACTTGGCAAGATTTTAAGCATGTTCAAAAAATTTCACACTTCTCAACGGATGATTAATGATCTGTAAGTTCAGTTGCTAACAAGCTACTAGTAATTCGGTGAGCTTAAAAAATCCAGCGTAAAGTAAATGCAGAAATGACCAATTTTTGTTGTAGAAAAAAAACAATATGTATGTAATATGTACTTATTTCATGTTAGAACATGTCATGTAGGTAAACTATACGTTAAATATTCTTACGATGGGTGACACATGTTAATATTCTGTATGAATTTAATCCCTATTACACTATTGAAAAGTTTATTTAAAGGCACATTATGCCGCAGAAATGAATAAATGTTTACTTCTTTAGAAACGGCATATGTGAATTTTTAATAACGTAAGCTATTAGATTCTTGTTGCTTGCGAAATGTAGCGCTAGATGTGACCACATTGGTGATACAGGAAGCAAAATGTAACCAAGTAGTATTTTGACTTCCATACAAAATACCAAATCACTATAACTGTGCGATTGCCAAAGGCAAAATGGTCCAGGTAATAGGCAAATGAGAAACTATTTGGAAATTATAAGTACACCATAAAAAAGGCCTTTGAAAATAGTGAAAATAGAATAAGAGCAGTAGTGAAGCATACTGGGTCTTTACTTTCTTTGTTACACCCTAAATCATTACGAAAAACATTACATTTTATATGTTATTCTTAGTACTTCAAAAATGCCCCAAAATTAAGTCATTTTAACGGCGGTTATTCATAAAGTGTGCTAAAATGTCGCCATTGAAAAGCACGCGACTTAATCTGGCACCGCAGGTTAGTTTTACGGAAACACTTGACATGTATTTGCGGATCAGATCGAAATAGAAATATCCGTCTCTTTGATACCCGCCCATTACCAGCATCTCGGCAAGCATCGTTTCTCCCCAAATAGGCGGGTTACCTCGCGACGGATATTCTTATCCAAACTGCAACATATAACATATTATTATCATGACTAAGTCCTAGTCACAGATGGGACACCTAGCTCTGTTGCACTCAGAAACTCAAATTTACTAAATAAAGAAAACCCTATATGTATGTATAACTCAGAGTCTGCATAACAAAAGTTATTACAAAATTGTCAAGCCCTTATCATGCAAAACAATGATTGCATAACTTTAGTGAATGCTTAACAGGATCGGGATCTGCGGACCCGTTATAAAATTTCTATGATATTGTTATCTTCTATTAGGCACCATAGTCAAATTGAAATTCACGGAAGGCATGGTTCATGTATTTTGCATAAGTTTTTAACGCAACCTCACAGTCATTATGACTTTCATGTTTTCACTATGTTTGTAATCAAATAAAGCTGTTTTTGCAAATGCCCAGTTTAAGTATAACAGGATACTATCTTTGTATTGTTCACAAAGGCCAGGTCTTATATAATATATGAGAAAATATGATAACAAATAGGGGCCAATGGTCACATAACATATACACCAGAATTAATATTATGTCATAAAAGTGCATCATTAGCGGTACGGAATGAGAATGTGGTTCATGATTATCAGAGACGAAGGAATTTCAGAAGAAAGAGAATGGCAATTAATCAGATATTGATACATACAATAACAGACATATGTTATATTTCTTCAAAGCTAAAGTCGATGTAATCAGGAAGTAAAATGATATGGACAAGCAACTTCCAACTAGATAGTCATGCTTATAAGGTCTTATAATTGCGTCCTTTTGACAAGGTTTGTTTATTGTTTGTTTATTTGGGTTTTACGTCACACGGACTCTTTATGGGTCATATGGCGACGTTCCTTCCAGCTTGACTGGTGGAGGAAGACCTGAGGTGCCCTTCCGTGCATTACAAGGGATGTTCGAAATGTATTGCTAATTTCTATCTAGAGACTTCAAATTTCAAGTTAGCTCAAGTGTTCAAAAGTGGGTAGCTTCCTCACATGAAAGAATCCAACGTCCCTTTGGAGATTGGAACCCACATCGGTGAAGGGCAAGGGTTTGAAGTCAACGACCGTACCCACTCGACCACATACGCCCCTTTTAAGTGTAGTGTTTAAAAACAGGTATTTTCACCAAAAATATGTATAACTCAGAGACTACATAATAAAAGTTTTCAAGGTCCTTTACATGCAAATTCAATAAATGCATAATTTCAGTGAATCCGTTACAGGACCGGAATGTGCGGTCTGGCTACAGGGTTGCTTTGTTTTTGCAACCATACTAAAATTAATCAAACTCAATGAAAGCATGGTACATGTACTTTGTCTTAGTGTTGATTGGGTATTTTAATTGTATAATATTATTGTCTTTAAAGCTAAATATTTAATTTCAAAAACAGGCATTTGTTATCATGCATATTATATAAAATCTAAAAATTATTAAATTTTCATACTGTCTGGAAACAACTTAACTGCAATTGATCAACATACTGCAATAATAACACGGGTGTCTGTGTCAAACAACACTAAATATCTTTCTCGTTATGACGTTTAACAAGCAAACATGCACAAAGGAAATAGCATTTATACAAGGATTTGTATGAATCCAATACAAAATCAATATTAGTACACAATTGCGTACTGTTGTGCGAAAATCATCATCTACATTTATATAAGAATTTAATTTAGCTCTAGTTGATGTGCCCTTGTACAAAATTCAAAAAGGTTTCTAAAGCATTTGCTTCTGGCTCGTTTCCTTTTTTATTAACAATTCCATACTCCTCTGCCAATTGAACAGTTGAGAATACTTTTCCCGTCTTTTCCATTATATTCGGATCATTAGCCAGAGCAATAACACATTCCCCAGCACAACAAGGCGATTCGGCAATTTTCGCAATTTTCCGGTATTCTTCGATGTTTTCTCCACGATTTTCGGCTCCCTTTGACAACGCCATTAAAGTGTCTGAGCTCACAGGACCGGGTGACAAACTAACAAAGGCTATGTTATGCTTCCTCAGTTCCAGGGCACAATCTGCTGTCATGCGATCAACACCAGCTTTACCAATCCCATATGCAGGATTCAACATATACATTGAAGCCCCAGCAGACGACACATTTATTATGATGCCATTCTTACGTGGTACCATCAATTTAGACGCGTAGATAGCGCACAAATAGTTATTTCTCAAACCGACCTCATTTATATCGTCCCACATGTTCAACGACTGTTCCCAAAATGGTTTTCCTCGCTCCTTCAAAAGGGTATCATTTCCCGAAAACGCATTATTGACAAAAATATCTAACCTTCCATCGTTTTCTGCTGTGATGCGTTCAAATAAGCGTTGAATATCTATATCTTTTGAATGGTCACATTGAATTGGTACGCAAACTCCTCCTCGAGCGTGGATGTCACGTGCTGTCTCCTCTAGCGATCCTGGTAAACACACGCCATCTTGAGGGCTCAATGTTCTTCCGGTAATATAAACCTTGGAACCTTGTTGACCGAGCTGGATAGCAATTGCTTTACCGATTCCACGAGTAGCACCTGTTACGATACTTATTTTACCGCTTAAAGACAGTGACCCCATTGTCTTGTCCAGATATGTCTTGTATAAACACGCAACCTACAGTACAGTAATCAAGCTGATATGTGAAATCACACTTTTACAGTACGTGATTTCAAATAAATTAACCCGAGGCTTGAGGTTCAATATGTATATGCTTAATTCTCATTAAAATGCTTTAACATGGAGAGCCATTTATAATTAAAGTATTATCACTCAATTGACATCTAATGTACTGCTTTATTTGAGCTCATACCCTTGCAGCCCTGACATGTCTTTCTATGTAAATGTCTAGCATTTCAACTGTTGATCTATGCGTTATTTTTACCATTGTGTTCAAGGACACGACAGACGTTTTTAGATGACGGCGAGTTCTAGAAAAAATTGATTATTGCTTTGCACGAGAATAATCTAAATGAGTTGATATATTGACAAAAAAACAGTGCTACATACATGCTTTTCCCTGGAAACTTATGTGACTCTTATGTTATCTTTCTTTTCATTTGGGCTCATTGATTGCAGCAACATTGTCATTAATGAACAGACTAAATCAAACAGTCTGCGATTTTAAAATAATTATCATCGTCGTAAAGGGAATAATCCAAGCTTTCCAATCAACCAATCCGCAATGACATTGGTCCACCGAGTAAAATAATGATGAGGAATCTAGGTTAAATAATCCTGTTCTCATGATTATGAAACATTTTTTCTGTGGTCTTGTATCAAATCGCAGGATTTTAATTGGTCAGTAAATATTATGTGGCAGATTCTGACCAATCAAATCAATTTAAGTTTGAGCTTTATAAAATTACTTTATAACCTCTGACCCAGGCCAACTTGTCAACTCTGCAGTTTGTATACTCACAGAGAAAAAAATCGACTATGATAAATTGATGCATTTTATCCTCCAGTCTTCTGCGGTGGAGAAACAAGAAAAACTAGTTATCAAAGAGGCAAAAATGTACTAACATATTTTATATCATTAATATGACGCTCAAATTAATATTTATCAATTTTGTAAGTTCTAAATAGCATTATTTATAAAGATATTACCGAATTTTACATTTCATGTAAATAAAGTACAGGAAGGTAATAAAATATGTATTTTCTATAATTTTCCAATAAGACATAAAGGCATATATTTTATATGATTACATATAATCTGTACAAATATTTGCAGTACATATTTTACATATCCTTTGATGTTTGAAAATTGTTTTATAAGCATAATTATATACATATATAAAATTTCACTTAAGTGTGGTATATAACCTCAGTAACAACATACAGGATCTTTAATAGGTGTAAATCAACAATTAAAACTTCAAAAATATACAAATTCATTTATTGAAAATAATGTTAAATATATTTTATAAAGGCTAGAAATATAATCAACAGGAGTAATTAAAAACTGATAAAAATGTTACATAAAATAAGATAGCCGAAGACCGCTCACATGAGATCAACTGCTAAAAAAGGTCTAATGTTATTAAGTCATTGGGTCAATTTTTTGTGGTGGGACTATTTCACCCCTGCGAAAATTCTTCAAAAAAATTTAAAAGAGGTTTCACTTAACAATGCTAGGTAGTCACTATCTAAGCTCTAAGACATGTTGTTCCTCACGATAACGTGTTTTCCTATACCGAGTGACCCCAAGGGCAGGAGAAATGTTTACCTAAAGGGTATGATTTATGATAACATTCAAATCTTTATTAAAGATAAACTTGGTGACAAATATATTCAGTCAAGAGCAATTAAGTAGTGTTGTATGCCAAAACATTAAAATTTGTGGCATTGTAGTTTATTAAGAGATTTTATAATCTGTTTCCTATACATTTCTACGTAACAAAAATGACCCCAGGGCAATACCCATTTTTTACCCAAAGGTCATGATTTATATTTTTGTAAAGGTCTACAAGGCAATGCTACATTCCAAATATCTTTTCTATACCACGTAATTGCACACAAAATATAAAATAAACTAAATGAACCCCTGGGGTGTGCTAATTTTGACCCTGATGGCGGGATTTATATAATTTTATAGCAGACGACACAAAAAGATGTAACATGACAATTTTTTACTTTTTTGTTTTGTTCGTTTCATTTTACGCCTTTTCCCAACAGTTTTTCAGTCATATTATTGTACATTCAGAGAGGAAGACTTTAAAAATTCATTTTAACTATATTTTAGCTCCTTTGACCTACTGATACATCATGCCAGAACCATTGTCATAACTTCTGTTGAAGTGAAAGTTGAAAAGAATAAAAAGGAGGGGATACCAATTTTTTTTCTTTAAATTATGGGTCACAACAGAACAGTCTATACAAAATGGAAAACATACTATCACAACTAAATCTCACCTGTCAGCACTGCGGTCAAGTGCAATATAAACATTCAGCGTTTGCATGTAAAAATCTAATCAAGATAATACGTTTTGTGTTTGCTGAACACAATAACGTTACTTTAAAAAAAAGTTACTTTTAAAAAAACATGCTTTAAATAACATATATTCAAGAAAAACTTCCATAACTGATTTTAACGTGATTGCAACTGATATCTAACAGTGTAAATTCTTTATGTGTAAATACTATATAAATAAATGCAAAAAAACTAAACAAGGCAATATATGTATAAAGATAAAAACATAAGGGATCACAACACAATTAGATTTTATGTTTATGATATGTAAAAAAGAGTAAAAGAAAATAACAATATGCAATTATATTGCGCTCAGAAACATATATATCAGTAAAGTGATTATATAAAAGGGCATACCATTCATGTTCAGAATACAAAATATAATGTCACTATCTTTTTACTACAATATAAGCGACTATATCATCAGTTTAATTATCTATTCACTAATACATAGATCTACTCATGTCTTTAAAATGCTTCACATATGAGCCGCGTTACGACAAAACCAACATAATGGGTTTGCGACCAGCATGGATCCAGATCAGCCTGCACATCTGCGCAGTGTGATCAGGATCCATGATGTTCGCTATCATTTTCTATACTTGTTATAGGGTTTTTAAGCGAACAGCATGGATCCTGATCAGACTGCGTGGATGCCCAGGCTGGTCTGGATCCATGCTGGTTGCAAACGCTTTACGTTGGTTTTGTCATGTCACGGCTCATATTATTAAAACAAAATGTTATTCGTACAATACCATTTCCCCTAAAACATACAAACATAAATCAGAATATAACATAAATTTTTGATTCTAATTGCAATTTAATTTACAATAACAAGATAAGAGAATCTATATGTGCAAGCAATTGTCAGCCAATCCATTTAACAGTTTATAATTGTTAATGTAACCCTAACCACAGTAAGTATCTTAAATGCACTTGCTTATCATTAATTCTACATATTATTGAATAAAGTACAGTGCAGGTCATGATCAGGCAGCACGAATGTGCCGATTGATCTTGTCTGAACTGGTCATATAGGTATTGGTATATTGGTTAGGGACATGCTAATCTTGAAACTTACACTGCGAAACTGTATGGACAGAATGTACAACCCTGCCTCACTCATTTCAATAATAAAGCATTCAATAATTATAGGTACTATAGGTACATCATAATGATGTCATGGGATTGGAATCAAGGTGCCCTGTGTGAGCACAAACGACTGCGGAAAATATTTTCTGCTTATGTTTTTTTCTGATTTTTATCACAATCATTGTATCTGGATATGCAAAACAAACAAAATATTACAACTTTGTTGATAAAAAAAAATGAAAGGCTACAGAAATAGTTCGAGACACTTCAATACCAATGTTTTTTATCTTTTTATTTTAAGTCACATTGGGAGTGTAAAAGTCATATGGCGACTTTCAAACTTACTGGTTGAGAAAGACCTTATTTAAGGAACGAGCTGGCACCTGTGTAGAACTTCAAGACAAGCTTCCTCACAAGAAAGAATCAAAAGTCCCTGGTAGGATTGGAACCCACGGGTAAAATAAAAATTTTAAAGTCGGCGGATTTTACCCCTCTTCTATGGAAGCCTCTTATACAATAATCAAATCAACATATTCATTTACTATCTATAATGACGTGTATGATCATTACCATAAATAGAAATTTTGTTTGCTTGTTTTGGGTTTAACGTCACATCGACACAGTATAGGTCATATCGCGACGTTCCAGCTTTACTGGTGGAGGAAGACCTCAGGTGCCCTTCCGTGCATTATTTCAGGCACGAACGGGCACCTGAGTAGAACCACCGACGTTCCGTAAGCTAGCTTGATAGCTTCTTCACATGAAAGAATCCAAAGTCCCTGTCGGGATTCGAACCCACAGCGGTGAGGGGCAAGTGGTTTGAAGTCAACGACCTTAACCACTCGGCCACGGACGCCCCTAAATAGAAATAAATGAACAAGCTCGCACCATGGGAAAGACATTGGTAAAGGAACACTGACGTACTTCAAAGATCTAAAGTAATAAGTAATAAAAAAACAACGTCCAAGAGAAAGAAAATGTAAAAAAACGTTTGTTGTTTTTTGTGGATTTTTTTTTCAACTCCTAAAATTCTAAGCACAGGGCTTTTCAAAATACCCCATCTAAAATAACAAAGGACCATACACATTAATCTACTTGTGAATTATTTATATATATATACATAGACGTTTTAAGTTTTCTTAAAATCTCACACATTATCTAAAATTAAAATACAAAAACATGGAGATCAAATAAAGTTAATGTACGATGATTTCTTAAAAGATAAAGGGATTAAAATTTCATTTTCAAGAAGTTTCATTTCATAACATAAAACCAGAATTTTGTAAGCGAAAGTAAAAATATTACTGATACATTTTGGTAAAGAATATAAACAGAAGCTAAATATTTAATTTGGCAGTGTTTTTTGTGTTAGAGATAGTATTTGGTGTTTGAGCAATGAAGTATGCTGGTATAGTAAATCTGAGAAAATATTTTTGAAAAGAAAAAAAAACATTAAATTGTTATGGTATGTAAGACAGTCTTTTTTTTTAATTTTTAAATTTTCTACATTTTTAAAACTGGTGAAAAGTTGTGGCAAATCTTGGCAAGAACTCAACTTGTATGTGCAGCATTCATAAACTTAAAAAATGGTAACAGTTTTATAAAGAAAAAAGACAACTGTTTCTTAATTGCATCATTTCTTATTTGAGGCTCTCCAGTAGCGTGTAAGAAAAGTAGAAAAGTAGACTAGGGAGGTTGGAGAGCCTGCTTAATGCAATATCTAGAGCTTCCTACATATTATAGACATTTCTGACACACAATAATATTGCATTTCTAGAAATCCAGCTGCCACATAGGAAAGTCATTTCTTAACAAAATTTAAAGTGACTTTTTTAGCATACATACATCAAATAGCTTTTTTAATCTCTTGTTCTTGGCACCAGTTCATGCCTTGTAAAAAAACGTTTTACACTTGATTAACCAAAACATCCTATCTAAAGGCAATGAATAAGGCTATGATATGTCTATGGTCAACGAGATAACCAGTCTATGGGCAACAGGCAGTCCAATCTGTTTCTGGATACCCATTGTACAGTCCATTGAAGAATATGGAAAATGACACGAAGACAAGGAACAATGCTAGAGTTACCCAACCTACATTCTTCTCCCACGGCTTCTCGTTGATATTTTTCATCACTGCTATACCAAGGAATAACCCTGTCAAAGTATAAAACAAAATTGCTATAATAAAAGGAATAACCCTGTCAAAGTATAAAACAATATTGCCATAATAAAAGGAATAACCCTGTCAAAGTATAACACAATATTGCTATAATAAAAGGAATAACCCTGTCAAAGTATAAAACAATATTGCCATAATAAAAGGAATAACCCTGTCAATGCATAAAACAATATTGCCATAATAAATGGAATAACCCTGTCAATGAATAACACAATATTGCCATAATAATTATATACATAATGATTCTATCTTTAACTTTCGTCTTTTTTCATGGCGTCACTGTTACAGACACTATTACTAAATTTTGCAGCTTTCCAGTTTTCAGTTAGTCCAAGACTCATAAATGTTCCTCAATTGTTCAAGGAACAGTCAAGCACTGGTGTAGAACTACCAGTCTTAAAAATGATACAAAATATTTCTCATAACAAAGTATAAATAAAGCTGTGAGTAGAATACATTGTATAAGGATCTTCTACAAATTTAATTTTGTTTTTGTTGAATTTTAAGTCACACTGGCGCTGTAACAGAAATACCGTGACTTCACAGCTTTACTGGTTGAGAAAGACCTCAGGGGCCCCTTCCTGCATTATTTAAGGCAAGAACGGATACCTGTGTAGAACCACTGACGTGTCGTCATCTAGCAGTATAGCTTCCTCACATGAAAAAATCAAAAGTCCCTGATGGGATTTTAGCCCAAACCTTTAAGAGGCAAGCACAAAATGAAATAGATAAATAGTTACTTTTCTTATAAAAACTGGCTTAACGAACAAGAGGGCCATGATGGCCCTGAGGTCGCTCACCTGTTTATAGGCCCCCGCAGCAGGGCCAGTTTAAACCCCAGGGCTTTTATTTGAACAAACTTGGAAGACACCCATTAGAAGATGTTTCATGATGTTAAGTTTTTACTACACACATATAATGAAAAACAATGATCTCCCACTCCCCCCCCATTTCCCCCCTGGCAGGGCCAATTTTAACCCAAGGGCTTTTATTTGAACAAACTTGGTAGACACCCATAAGAAGATGTTTCATGCTTAATATCTAAGCTCTAGCTATTTGGGTTTTTTAAAATAAGATTTTTTAAGTTTTTACTATACACATATAGTTAAAAACAATGACACCCCTGGGTCGGGGCCAGTTTTGACCCCAGGGCTTTTATTTGAACAAACTTTGTAGACACTTACTAGAAGATGTTTCATGCTTAATATCTAAACTCTAGCTATTTGGTTTTTTTCAAAGAAGATATCTAAAGTTTTTTCTTTCAGTTGCCATGGCAACCAGAGTTTTGCATGGAATTAAATTCTTTGAACAATTTTTAAAGGTGACCACCAAAGGAACATTCCTGTGAAGTTTGGATGAAATTGGCTTAGTGGTTTATGAGGAAATGTCTTTTAAAGTAAAAGTTTACGGACCGACGGACGGACGACGGATGGACGGACGCTGGGCGAAAAGGGATCACAAAAGCTCACCCTGTCACTTTGTGACAGGTGAGCTAATAAAAAATTACAGTGATTCAGTATTGTTAACAGATATTATAAGTGCCCTTCTGGGCATTATTTCAGGCACAAACTGGCACCCGAGTTGAATCACCTACCATGTAAGCTAGCTAGATAGCTTAAAGGATCAAATGCACTTAACAGGATTCATACCAGGATTCAAATCCATGGTTGTAGGAGAAATGGTCTGAAGTCCTAAACATGAACCACATATGTCCCTACAAAATCTAAATTTCAAGAATTTGGCGAAGTGAACATAGAACAAAGACTTAAACTATAGTAATACAAATGTTTTACCTGCTATGAGACCTCCCATATGAGCTGTGATTCCAATATTACCACCAGCAGGATCAAAGAATCGTCTATAAACTGCATTAGCGGTATCTAAACCAGCTGCAAATATACACCAAGTTATTACTGACAAATTAAAGAATAACCTTCTGAATTTGTGCAATGGATTTGACCTGCTACGGATTTGGAACAGTCTATACCAATTTCAAGATCTTTCAGTAACAAACAAGATTGCATTTGAGAAAAATGCTATGCCACCGCATGGTTCAAATTTCATAGCTGTACATCATAGGACAAGAAAGTAGGTCACATCATCAAAATCTAGGTCACCTGATATCAAAGTTCAATTTTACAACTAAAACTGTGCACATGGTCAAAATTTCATTGCTGTACATCAAAGGACAAGAAAGTAGGTCACTATCCCCTTGGGCAAGGCAAAATTTTGACCCAAGGGTTAAATTCAAAAAAATCTTGATACAGGTCCATCAAACAACATTTCAAGTCAAATATGTAAGCTGTAGCTTTCTTCCATTCAGAAAACATTTGTTTTATTTTCTGTTTTTACTGTACATAATGAGAATCACTGCCCCCGGGCAGGGCCAATTTTGACACCAGGGGAAAAATTTGAACAACTTGGATAAAGGACCTATAAATGATATTATATATCAAACATCAAAGCTCTATGCCTTGTACCTTCAGACAAAAATATTTTTTATTTTTTCATTATATGTACAAAATGAAAAACAATGACCCCCGGGGCAGAACCAATTTTGACCCCAGGGCTATAATTTTAACAATCTTAGTAGAGGTTCACTTGGCAAAAACTCATGCCATATATTTCACCTCTAGCCTTTGTCAATTCAGAGAAGAAGATTTTTCAAGTTTTTACTCTGGGGCAGGGCAATTTTTACATAAGGAGCATAATTAAAACAACCAGAAGAGGACCATATATGATATTATATACCAGATATCAAAGCTCCAAGCCTTGTACCTTTAGACAAGAGAATTTTTTTATTTTTTTACTATATGTACATAGTGAAAATCAATAACCCCTGGGGGTGGGGCCAATTTTGACCCCAGGGCTATAATTTGTACAATCTTGCTAGAGGTTCACTACACAGTGATTCATGCAATATATCTTAACTCTAGCCTTTGTAAATTTAGAGAAGATGATTTTTTAAGTTCTTATTATATACATATATAAGGAAAACCTATGCCCCCCTGGGTGGGGCTAATTTTGACACTAGAGGCAAAATTTGAACAACTTTGGTAGAGTACCTATAGATGATATTATTTAATAAATATTAAAGCTCTAAGCCTTTTACCTTCAGACAATAAGATTTTTTTATTTTTTACTATATGTAGATACATGTATTGAAATCAATGACCCCCAGGGTGGGGGCAATTTTGATCCCAGGGCTATAATTTGAACAATATTGGTAGAGGTTTACTACACAATGTTTCATCCAAAATATCTAACCTCTAGCATTTGTCAATTGCTAGAAGAATTTTTTTTAAAGTTTTTACTATAAGATTTTACTATATACATAAATGGAAAACCAATGACCCCCAAACCGGGCCAATTTTGACCCCAGGATTATAAATTGAACAATCTGGGTAGAGGTCTACCAGACAATGCTTTATGCAAAATATCTAAGCTCTAGGCCTTTGGGTCTTTACAAGAAGGTATTTTAAGTTTTTACTATATGTACATATAGTGAAAATCAATGACCCTGGGTCGGGGCTGATTTTGACCCCAGGGCTATAATTTGAATAATCTTGGTAAGGGTCTACCAGAATGCAAAATATCTAGGCTCTAGGCCTTTTGGGTTTTTACAAGAAGGTATTTTATGTTTTTACTATATGTACATATAAAGAAAACCAATGACCCCCGGTGCGGGGTCAATTTTGACCCCAGGGCTATAATTTGAACAAGCTTGTTAAGGGTCTACCAGGCAATGCCTTATGCAAAATATCTATGCTCTAGGCCTTTTGGGTCTTTACAAGAAGATTTTTTAAATATATTCTTATAATTCTTTTTTGTTGCCATGGCAATCAGATTTCTGCATGGAATGAAATTCTTTGAACAAGTTTGAAAGCCCTTCACCCAAGGATCAATCCTGCCAAGTTTGGTTGAAATTGGACAAGTGGTTTTTCACAAGAAGATTTTTTAAGTGTACTATATAATCTATATAACACACACACAAACACATGCACACGCAAACACACACACAGATGAATCGCTATATGCCACCGCATCGCAAATGCTGCGGTGGCATAAAAACAAATGCAGTCTATAAAAAAAAACGTTTTTTTTTGTTGGGTTTTACCAAATTACGTCCATCCCAAAAAATTTGGGTTTTTGGGCAACTTTCAAGTTTTACTGAGGGATGAAGATCTAGGGACCTTCTTTGGGATTTTTTCTGGGATAAATAGGCACCCTAGAAACCCCCGAAATCCTTGGAAAAGTAACTATTTAAGTATTGATAATGAAAAAGAAAAAGGAATTAAAAACTTCTATCTCAAAGGGGAACAAGAAAAATTATAAAATCAGGGATTAGGGAATGGAAAGAAACAGTAAAAAGATTAAAAAATAAACCAAAGGTATTTTATATTTTTCAGTCTAAATCATTGGGGTACAAAAATAAACGAATTCTAAGACGAAAAAAAGGGAGAATTTCGTTAAAAAATATACAAGAATTTTTTCTGCCTAAAACGGAGGTAAAAATTTAATACTTAATTAAACCTCAAAAATTAATGATAATTTGCTTTAGTTTGATATTTGATAATTGCTACATGTACAATGTATATAAATAAACATGTTTTGACTTTACACAACAGTAGATGTGTTACGTTTTTGGTTTATACAGAATTTATTTTAGTTGGATTGTGTAGGAAGCTATAAGCTTACAGACAAACTTTAGAATCCGTTCCTGGAACCAACCAGTACTGAGCAATGAGTGTAAAGTTTCTTGCTCAAGGAAACAACGACTTGCCCCTGACGGGGTTTGAACCCATGCGGCTAACGATCATGAGATTACTAGTCCGACGCGTTAACCACTCGGCCATGCCGCCACTTAGCAAGAGCCTCACCTAATGAATGTTACGTTTTAAACTCTATAGGGGGTCACAATATGAATATACAGAGTCATTCAGTGGGTTTTACTGGCAGTTCTTCAAGCCTGATCGGTACACTTAGCACAAACCTTACCTAAAACTCGAAGGACAATGAGCCTGACAGGTGCACTTAGCAAGAACCTTACCTAATAATAACATGGCAGTGAGCCTGACTGGTCCTAATAATAGCAGAACAGTGAGCACTTAGCAAGAGCTTCACCTAATAATCACAGGACAGTGAGCCTGACCAGTGCACTTAGTAAGAAACTTTCCTAATAATAGAAGGACAGTGAGCCTGACCAGTGCACTTAGTAAGAACCTTACCTAACAATAGCAGGACAGTGAGTCTGACAGGTGCACTTAGTAAGAACCTTACCTAACAATAGCAGGACAGTGAGTTTGACAGGTGCACTTAGTAAGAACCTTACCTAACAATAGCAGGACAGTGAGTCTGACAGGTGCACTTAGTAAGAACCTTAACCTAACAATAGCAGGACAGTGAGTCTGACAGGTGCACTTAGTAAAAGAACTTACCTAACAATAGCAGGACAGTGAGTCTGACAGGTGCACTTAGTAAGAACCTTACCTAACAATAGCAGGACAGTGAGTCTGACAGGTGCACTTAGTAAGAACCTTACCTAACAATAGCAGGACAGTGAGCCTGACCAGTGCACTTAGTAAGAATCTTACCAACAATAGCAGGACAGTGAGTCTGACAGGTGCAACTTAGTAAGAACCTTACCTAACAATAGCAGGACAGTGAGCCTGACCAGTGCACTTAGTAAGAATCTTACCTAACAATAGCAGGACAGTGAGTCTGACAGGTGCACTTAGTAAGAACCTTATAGGATTGCCATCACAACATTCGTGGTTCATCTCGGACCAATTCTGTAATAAAATAAACACTCAATATTTAGTTAGAACTTATATGCAACACTTATTTGTTGACTATAAATTATATAAAACACCTATTTTCACATTGAAATTATATGTAACATCAATTATTATACTAAACATCATAGGTTGAACACTCTATTTTCAATTAAAGATCACCATAAAATATCTTTAATAACTTATATGAAACATCATTTTTATATTAAAACTTATATAAAACGCTATTTCAAATTCAAATAAATAAATTCAAATAAGCAAAATCATTACTTTCTAAATTAAATATTAAATCAAAAACTATTTTTTCCTGAAGTTTTAACATGAAACATTCATTTTTACAATTTAATCTATTTACCATAAAATACACATTCTCCATATAAAATCAAAAGAATGTCTCAATATTTTCCGCATGATCTCATTACATACTGTTGTTACATGCATCTCCAGAAAATAGAAAATTATTCACATTTTACTCAATCAAAACATAAGAAAACTATCTCTCAAAATAAATTAAGTGTATCATTGGTATTATGCGAATGTCTCAATGATTTTGCTAGACAACTACAGTTTTTGTGTACACTTGTTGAATTTTCCTTTTGCTCTACCAGTACGCAATGTAGTCATGGATCATACATTGTTTAAGTGACATTATGCCCATCCAAGGGTATATAATTAGTGAAGAGGTCAAAGACAAAATAAGTTTATATTTTCCCATAATTACTTTCAATTTCATAATTTACTATGCATGAGCTAAAGATAGCGCACGTGACCAAAATACATTTCTATAAATATCCATCGGAAATTACCTGTAACGTACAATTTATAAAAAGAGTAAGGCAGTCTTTTTATATTTATCCGAAAGACTTTCAAATATCAATTGTTGGTCAATCATCATTATAACAATCAAACTTTTGAAATATATAGAAAATTCAGCTTAACTTGACAATGAAAAAATGAGCATAATGTCACTTTAAAGACTAGTAATATTTTTCTGTATATATTTACCACTACAACTGAAGCCAGATGGGCACCTATAAGAGCGTAACAACCTCCACTAGCACCGGCCAAGGCAACATTGTGATCTGTCAATGAATGTGCCAGTGAACCTGCCAAATTGAAAGACAAAAAAAGTTACATCCTCACTTTAAACATTACACTGCTAATTTTGAATGGAAGTTTTGCATTATATTATGTGGTATTAGTATTGGAATACTGAAAATGCAGATGCCTAGAGTAAAATCTGAAGGTGTCTGCCTTTCAAACAAAGATTTGTGGGATTGCAACCATTATTTTTTACAAGACACCAGTACTGATAAATTCTAGGAAACAGGCTTTAATAAGCTTCAACCTCTAATAATAACTGAGCTAAAATAAATATCTAAACAAACATTGAATTACTCTTTCTTGTCCAAAAACGATTCACCTAAACTCTTATCATTTTAATAATCATGATTCAGCAGCTTTTTCAAGGACTATTGTGTTCACTCTATAATCACTGACTGCATATCACTTGCCAGTCTACAATGACTGTTTTCATGTTAAGACATTTCGTTTTGTTTGCTTGGTTTGGTCTTACTGCACACCAAAACATTGCCAGTCTACAATGACTGTTTTCATGTTAAGACATTTTGTTTTGTTTGCTTGGTTTGGTCTTACTGCACACCAAAACAATTTAGGTCATATGGCACCAAAACAGGGAAGATGATTTTGGCCAACCTTGGGTGATAACACAAAGGGTTAAAACCAACTCACCTGCTTTAGTTAAAAGTTGCATAGACTCCAGTAATTCGAACCCAAATAGTCACTACAGTAATTTGAAACCATTCAGCTGCCTCTTACGATCATGCAGGGATAAACGGTGGCTGCAATTCTGATGCCCTAACCTTTTAAGGCAACCCCTCAGCCACAAGGGAGATATCAGGAAGTATCCAGCTGTTCCAGAACTTACCTGCGATAACACCACAGAAGTAGACAATAAGAACTCTCCACCATTTATGTACAATCTCTAGAGGTAGGCCCAGCAATAACTGAAATATCAGGTTACCGACAAGATGCATATACCTACAAAACAAATAAAATATTCATTTATAAATAAGCCGCACCATGACAAAACCAACATAATGTGTTTGCGACCAGCATGGATCCAGACCAGCCTGTGCATGGTTAATTATCCTAAATATTTTAAAGTGCTAGTTTATGTAGTTTAATTGATATGCTATATTTTCTAATAATTCAAGTGTTCTATGCTGAAGAAATTTGGAAGATACATTAAATTTACTTTGATATCCCACTGTTTTCTTTCTAAATGAACATGACATTGTATTTAGACTTCTTGACATTCACAGTATCCTTGGGTGTTTACTCTACGACAAGGACGAATTAAGGGGCCCCGACAAAAAAATTTGGGGGAGTCCCCCTCAGGA